ACGGGGTGACATAAATCAAACCACTTTGTAAGAGAAAGAGAAAGAGAGAAAGTAAAAATGGCTTATGCTAAACTGCAACTACTACATGAAGGTGTTATTCGAGTCGTACCGATTTGAGTAGGTTGTCTGCGTCTTGCCTCCCCCATGCTCTCTCGTCTACTTTCTCTCCTTACGATTAGCTTCCAGTGTACCTTTGCCCAAAAAGAATTACTCAACATTCTCTGGATTCTCTTTTGCTTTTCTCTGTACTGCCCCGGCAGTGGTGTATTAGCAAGTGGTACGCTTACCATGCGCGCCGCCAGGGATCAAATCCTGGGTCGTTCGGACTAACCAACCAAGCCTTCCATCCCTCCGGGTCGGTTAATTGGTACCAGACTTGTCTGGGAGGATAAAAACACTGACTTGTACATCGGCTGGCCCCGCAAGTCATTGTATAGGCCACATCGCATTCAAACGCCACTACGAATGTACAAATGGAAGTAGAATGCGTGCCGCATCCCAAAAAGGGATTGATCAACGGCAAATGCTTTATCCTTTTCCTTTACATACTATCAGCTCCCTTCACGTCAAAACTTCTTTGTTTGGACGGGAGGGGGGAGGAATTCTCTTTTCTCCCTTTCTTTTCCTTGCTTTGTGCCGCTTATCAACTACTCCCCTTGGGAACCAGCATGGAATGCTATACTTGGTTGAAAATGAATAAATAAATAAATAAGCGCTTCAACAAGTACAATAATTGGCTTGCTTGTGAATGTGTCTTTTATAATGCTCAGCGACGGTCATGTGATTTATTAATTGACCAGGTGACATATGTAGTCTAGAGAGTAAGCCATTCTCATTAGGTTTTGGTAGGGCTGCGGCTTTGGCTTTAAAACAAACCCTTCTTGAATGAATTTTTTTGAGGGAGCAGAGCCGAAGAGCTGCACGTACCGGAAGGAAGAACACATGCTCAGCCTGTTTGAGTACACATAATTATTTACAGGGATTCCCAGGCCCGCTGACAAAAACGAATCACTTCGCTGCGAACCTCGTTGATAAGGAGAGCGGAGACACGCGCTGGACTTCCTCCATGGAGTTGCATCAGTGAATTTATGCAATTTGATGCATGCATGAATGAACAAGCTTTTTTTTTATCACTATGCATTTTTATAATACCAATTAATGAACATCAGTGATGCCGGTTGTTTGATTAGTCTGCAAGGGGAGAGAGCAGAAGATGTCAAAGAAATATGGCTTTGAAGCTTCCTATATTGTTGTGGTTACAAAAACTCCCTGAAAGCATGCCTGGCTTTGTAGAAAGATGTCCGTTCATTAGATCTCCGTTTTTAACGCTGCCAATGCACTTCAATGCGAATCAGTTCCACAAAGCCGATTAGGTCGCTGTCGAAGATCATGGACCTTGGCTGTCCTGATTCGGATTTTGCGAGAAAAGGAAAAACACCTTAGTTCTGCTCATCCCTTTCAACGGGAAGCATCTAAATACGAGCAGTACCTTTTTTTGAGTTTGAAAACGATGAGAACTCGGTTCTCGATTGTTCACTGCTGTTTTTGGACGCAGATCGCCTCGGAAAAGTTATACAAGGATGCTGAGTTATGAACCAAGGTTTTGTTCGAGGTGGGACTTGAACCCGCACACCTCTCGCTTACCGTGCATGTGTGCTGCAACATGCTACCGGTTGCTCAGTTGTCAAATTTTCACCCTTGCTGTTCACTGCCGATCTCGGCTTATCTTCTTAACATTCTGGGTGTGGTGCTGATAAGCTATTGCCAGGTGTACCATAATAATCTGAGTTAAGGATTAAATGGCACGCCGGTTGCGTAACTTGTAGCGCGCTTGCCCAGTAAGCGGGAATGCGGGATCAATTCCCGCGTGTGGGGAGAGTTTTGTTCATCGCCCAGCATTCTTCCGATGAGAACTCCATTGAACTATGCCCAGAAATAAATCCTTTTTTATGCTTCTTTCAGTAGCTATTAGAGGATTATTTAAAAAAAAGTCAAGAACACATAATGTCCTTCTAGGTCTATTTTAAACGAAACGGTCCAAATAAATATCGGCATATTGGTTTTCGGGCGGAAAGTGTAGTGGCAAGTGGCACGCTTACCACGCGAGCGGTCCGGGATCAAATCCTGGGTCGTGAGTCGCCCGGGCCAACCAAGCCTTCCATCCCTCCGGGGTCGGTTAATTGGTACCAGACTTGTCTGGGAGGATAAAAACACTGACTTGTACATCGGCTGGCCCCCGCAAGTCATTGTATAGGCCACATCGCATTCAAACGCCACTACGAATGTACAAATGGAAGTAGAATGCGTGCCGCATCCCAAAAAGGGATTGATCAACGGCAAATGCTTTATCCTTTATCCTTTATATTTGATTCCAAACTGCTAGTGTACATTGTGAATCGGCTCTTTTCCCCAAAAGGCTGTTTTCAAAAATATATTAATCCACCCACAATGTTCGTCAGCACTTATGTTCTTGTTTCTGTGCGAGGCTATATGATTTAGATGCTATCGCACAAAGCGATTGCTCATTACTTAGGGCCTGACCAAAATGTGAAACGTTTCCTCAGTAGAAATATTTGTTCACGAATAGGCAATTTCGTGGGCTGAATCAATAGCCTTATTCATTAGGAATCAGCCTTCATGTCGGGATACGTAATAATGATGTGACATTATGTTCATTACTCATGACAAAAATGGTACTTCTACATGGAACATAACCATTTATCTTCTTCGTTATATGCGCTTTTTACTGCTTCTACGAATGTTCACGTTGTTCGGGAATTCTGATCTTTTTCCACATCCTTATTCGCTAGTCCCTTATTGCCGTGTTCTATTCCTGTATTTTGATTATTCCCATTCATTTTCGGGCCGTTTGTGTGATCATTTTGGCGACCATTCATGAACAGAGTTCGATGGCACTATTTACCTTTTATTTGTCAAAAAAATTGAGAAAATGGATTTTGGGTGAAATTTGGTCCAATGACACTCGTCGCCAGAAATTTTATTGTTCGATTTATTTCAACCACAAATATGCACATCAATTTCAAGGCAAAGCGCATGGCCCCCGTATCCTGGAAGGCGAAGGTAAGCAAACCAGCCATTTTGGCGTTTCTGCTGGGGCCGTATGCTGAATGTTGGGGAGGGGATGGGGTCCCCGACGGTCGACGGACTACTTCAACTCGGTCCTTAAAACGCACGTTACGCTCTCTCGCAGGTCCGTCCTCTCTTTAAGGCTTAGTCCTGAGGTAAGCATCAAATTGAGGCGGTTTAAGGACCGAGTTGAAGTAGTCCGTCGACCGTCGGGGACCCCATCCCCTCCCCAACATTCAGCATACGGCCCCAGCAGAAACGCCAAAAGGGCTGGTTTGCTTACTTCGCCTGAGGCTCCGGTGCCATCACGCAGGTTTTGCACCGGCGCCGGTGGCGCTAGCTTAAGCTCCCTCTCAACGAATTGTCCTGATATTCACGTTGTGGGGTTCAAACCACCCCTGACGATATCCCCAGCAAATTTGGTGATCCGAGGTGTTCTAACGCCTTCGACGCCGGCACTTGCGGAGTTGGAACCGGGCGTTTTCGCCCTGAGGAATTGCGACTTTCGTATTTTACGGGTGGAACTTCTCCGTTGACAACAGGTCTAGTCAATCCCTAGTCATGAAAGACTTTCGATCAAAATTCGGCAGTTTTTGAAGAGCGGGGAGACAGTGGAGGGTAAATAGTGCAGTTCAATGTTGTCGGCGCATTTTCGTTTCTAAGTGATAAAATTGTTCCAAACACCGTTATTTTCAGTATGAGCAGTCAGGTGAAGGCCGAGTACGATTTTGAGGCCCAGCCCGGCACCGGTGAGATGAGCATCACCGCTGGCGAAATACTCACTGTTGTACGTCCGGTGAGTCACTACCGCTCAATTTTACGTCGTATCCACTAATGTTCGCAAGGATTCGACGGATAATCATTTATTTTTGAATTTTTTGTAGTGCATGTGAATTTGTTTGGCATATTTTGCTTATTTATTACATGTTTATTACTATTATTCTTGTTTTTTATTCGTTATTGTTATTATTGTTTTTGTTTATTTTATAGTATAATATATGTAACATTTTTTATAGTTTAATATATATTTCCATAACATGGGCTACAGTACACCTTAAACACTTTATTTTTCACATAAACCAGCAATCCATTCAAAAAATAGCTTTCTATTTTCTTGTCTCGAAGACGATTACGGACCGGCACGCAAAATTGCAGCAAAAAATATGCTCCCGAGATCTATTGTTATAGCATGACCGTTCCCGCGCCGCTATGGACGGGGCACGCCCGCCCAAGGAGGTGGTCCTATTTCTCGGGTTATAAGTCGTTTCTTATGGTATTCTCTTCATCCCGGGGGTACCCCCAGGAGGCCCGTCGCGCGGCAAGAAGGCAAAGTCAGCGGACGAGTCGCGCGCGTACTATAGGGATTTCGCGTCAAGTTAAATAGAGTGTCCCACTGCACGTCCTACATCGCACACCACGCGCTGCAACTCGTCCGCCGACTCTGCCTTCTTGCCGCGCGACGGGCCTCCTGGGGGTACCCTTCATCTCTGCACCACTGACCACCTCTACCTTGTTTGAATGGCTTCCTTCCACTCGTAAACTCGACCTTTAACGAATAGGCAAACTGGGAATGTGGGAAATATAAAAT